CCATATAGCCTCTAAGCCAGAATATCTTCTTAACACAGTCAGGCACAGTTTTAAGCTCAATGAAGTAAGATACAGCCTTTGCCTTCAAAGAGCTTAGCATCTACCTGCTTGATAAAAAATGAGAGAGTATCTCACAACATTTCCTCTGCTGCCCAAGAGCTAATCCTTTTCATCACAGGGCTTGCATATTACCCCCAAATCATTCGTCTGGAAGAACAGTAACATTTCCTACTCCTGGCCATAGGCAGAGCTTTGTGCTTTCTTGGTGTCAGGTTTGTACTGAAGTAGTTTGTTTAGTGTTAGGGATATAGCAGTACATAAGCTCATTTCAAGTTATGATACGTGCTGTGAAGGAAATAAGTCAGGTGGCACAATAGCAAGATAATAGCCACATTGGAGGAAATAAACACTCCTCAGATACTGAGGGGAGAGGGTGAGAGAGAGCTTCCCTGAAGAAGGAACATTTTCACTGGCATAGAGAATGAAGTAAGGAGAAGCACAAAAACATGAATACGAGGCTCCGCTGCTCACATGAGCTCAAGAACACCCCTTTGGATGAGATTTCCCTCTTGCCTTACTTCACTCTGCCAAGTCCTCCTGGTCCTGTTTCCTGGCATTTCTTCCCAACCAAACGACCTGCATTTAGGCCCTTCTTTCTAGCACTGCTTTCAGGGGAGAATCTGAGTTATGACTTCAGGGAAGATTCCAGGCAAAGGGAGTAGAAAGTGCAAAGGCCCTGAGGCTAAATGAAATGAAGAAATAATAAATGACTGGCCTCGCAGCTCTCTCTTGAGTTTTAAAAAATGCCCAGTGGTTAGGCTACTCCCCCAGAGATTTAGATTTGATCAGTCTGGGTGGAACCCAGTAACTTTTGAAGCTCCTTAGTAATTCTGGTGCATGGTGAGGATGAAGTAGTTTCCCTTGGGAACATTGGTGCAGTAGAAGTTACATTACAAGGATGCAAGCATGATAGGGAAATGTGATTTCTGAGACTTTTCCAGATCTTGGCTCAATTCCTTGGTTCCTGTCACCATACCTGTAACCAGGCAGCACTTTCCCAACTCAGGTTTCTAGAGACTAAGTGAAAGTCTGAGGTATATCCCAAGCAGGAAGTGCATCACTACGAGAATCTTATCATTCCTGCCAGGCCCTTTCCCAGGCTGAGTTTGGCTCTCAACTCTCTGCTCCTCAGCCTCCATGTTCACCCCATAAGGCACCTATCAGATGGTGTGATATATGCCCATGTATTTGCTATGTATTCAGAATTACATGAAGTCAGAAAATGTATCTCCTTCCCCATGACATTTTACATATCTTTCAAGTTGCAGTTTAGATGCTACTTCCTCCAGGAAGCCATCCCTGATTTCATGCCAAGAAGGCTTAGGTGCCTTTGTTGGGGGTCCCTTTATCACAGAACTTTTTGCCTTTTATATGAACTGCATTTACATGTGTCTCTTTGCATAGTATGGAAACTCTTGAGTCTATTATATTTACTGATTCATTTAACAAATACCTACTGATCATATTCTATGTGGTGTGTTCTGTTCTAGACTCTTGGAGGCAGTAGTGAAGAAAAATGGACCTGTTCTCATAGGGCTTTTATCACCATAGGGGGAGGACAGTCACTTAGCTCATCAGGTGCACAGTATGTCATACAGTTATAAGTGCTCTCAGTGTGATCAGGAAGCATAGAAATCATGGATGGTTTTAAATAGAGGAGTGATATGACCTCACTTTCTTTTTAGAAGCATAACTCCAGCCTGTGTTAAGAAGAGAGTGTGAAGAAGCCAGGGCAGGTGCCAGAAGGACATGCCATATGGCTATTTCAGTTAACCAGGTGAAAGCTGATCATGGTTAGGATGAAATGGTAGCAGGAGAGATGGTGACAAATGATCAGATTCCAGGTAGAATTGATATACAAAAACGTTCCCACTTGAAAATGTAACTGGATAAGCTTTGATCTATGTATAAACACACTTTTGACTCCATCACCACAATGAAGGTAATGAACATACTTATCCCTCAAAGTCTCTTCATGCCCCTTGGTCATCCCACCTGCCACCTGCTATCGCCTGAATCACTGATGTGCTTCTGTCACAACAGATTAGTATGATTTGGGGAATTTTCAGTAAATGGCACCTGGCAGTATTTCTCTATGTGTGAATTCCTTCAGTTGGCACAGTTATTCTGAGATTCATTACTGTTGTTGTACGTATCAATAGTTCATTCCTTTTCATTCCTGAGTAGTATTCCATTGTATGGAAGTGCCACAGTTTATCCAATTACCTATTGATGGAAATTTGATTTATTTCCCAGATTCTGGAGCTATTTTGAAGGTAGAGCCACAAGAATGTTCTGGTGGCTGGTTCTGTAACATATTAGGAAAGAGCCAAGCTTCTTCCCCCGAACTGAGAAGATGCAGCTGCCAATGGCTGAAATGGGAAACACTACAGGGTTCGGACGGTGGAAGAATTTTAACTCCCAGAATGCAGCCTGGCCCCTGGTAGCAGCTCAATAAATATTTTTTGATGAAAGGATGTCAGGGAGAACAAAAGGAAGAAGTATAAATTCAGTTTGGGATGCTGGTCATTCAAATCCTAAGCTTTAAGCCAAGCCACACTATTCTCTCCTTTTTTCACATCCCCCATCTCGCTGCAGAAGCCCAGGCAGTCATAATCATAAAGAGACTCCTCGGGCACAAAGGAGGTGGAAGGCAGATTCAATTAGAGCAGGATCCCTTGTTCTCAAATGGCCTCAGGTCCAGGAAGCATTGTTTTCTCCCCAGCACGGGGCTGAATGCACAACTGTTCTCTTTGGTTTCTGAACAATAAGCTTTCAAATTACTCTCTGCAAGGCAGATCCACTTGAGATCTATGGGCTACTAAGTCCCCTCCCCCACCCCCTCCAGCCTATATTTCCCTAACCCTCCAACTTGAAACATGTCTAACTGAAATTCCTTCCTCCGCGTCCCCCCCCCCAGCTCTCCTGTGAACTGTTATTAAAATCCTCACGTACCCATTTTAAATAGCAAGCAGATATTTAAAAAGCAATATAAATACAAATAGTCGATCAATATAAAGAAGGGGAGATGCCCAGCCTCACAATTCTCAAAGAAATGGAAATTCCTGCAATTTGAGAAAGCATCTTTTTCAAAACACCAACATTGGCAAGAGCGTAAGGACACAAACAGGAGTGGACATGCAGATTGGTCCAAAAATTCTGGGGGAAGCATAAAAAGTAGCCATAGTCTTTGACCCCAAAATTCCACATGGAGGAATTTGTCCTGAGCAAATTGTTATAGATGTCTGTATAGATATTCATTACACCATTATACATAATAAGAAATGTCACCCACAACCCACACATGGAAAGAAACGATGGCACTGCCTATCAACAGACCAGATGACTGTACTGTGAATATTCACATGATGAATTATATTGATACAGCAATGAAAATGGACAGACTGATATTCCATGCAGTATCATGGAGGGAATCTTTCAAACAATATTAAATGAAAGGAGGAGGAAAGGAATACATTGACTATAGCTCCATCAATAAGTTTAAACAATAAGCAAAATTAAACTATTTTGTTTGGGGATGCAAATACAAGTGGTAGCACATTAAGAAAAAACAATGGAGTGGTTCTAGCAATAGGCACAATTGTAGTTAGGAAAGATCAGGTGCAAACAGTGGGTTCCTGGAGTTTGGCAATGTTTTATTTCTTGTCCTGACTGTTAATTATGTGGTGCTCCCATTTTTGTCATGTTTAGGCTGCATTTTGCTAGCCCTGGTGATTTCACTGCTAAGCAAGGTCAGGGAGTGAGATCCTTTCTTTCAAAACTTATGACAGGAACCATTTGGATCTACAGATTCTAACAAGCTGAGCATGAATAATTAGCCCTGAAGATTTCTTCTCTGAGGCCTTTAGAAGACCTAAAATGGCTCGACTTTGGTAAGACCACCCATCTCTGAATTTGCCGAAATTCAACATAACTGAGAGAGAGAAAGGGCGGGTTGGAAGGAGGGAAAGAAAATAGCTAATACAGCTTGATAAAGTTCTGCTCTTTAAGCTAATTAGTTAAAAAAATGGCTGACTGGGGGCAGTGGTGGAGAAAAGAAACCAAATGCCAGGTAATCAAGGGGATAGATTCCGCCATGACATGGAGCACAATGCTAAGCGCTGCATGTGACATTGGGTAGAATAAGAAGTGACAGCATCTGGCCTTAATAAACTCATCACACAAGCAACGAAATCAATCCATTTGGGGAGGGGAGCAGAGATGAGAGGCCAGTTTGAAGCCATAGAAGAAAAAGGAAAATGAGGGACTGTGTTTCTTCTCTTAGTTACTATTTGAATTCTAAGCCAAGTCAGCAGGCGGTAGAAACCACCTGGTCCCCAGAATGAAAGAACTGCTTCTTTCTTCCTAGTAGTTCAAACACATGTCAATGCATCTAGAGCCTTCTGCCGGGAGGTAGCAAGACCACCAGTCCACAGAAAAAAACTGGAGTCTCTCACCAAGAGGTGGTGGTCGCTCAAGTACTCGTCATGTGAAAGAGTCTCCAGCTCATTCAGAAGATGCGTGTTCATTTGTGATTATCATTAATTAAAACAACAGTGGTAATGACAGTGAGGAGGATGATTTTGAACTGTATCCAGGGCTGAAAAATGTCAGATGCTTAACTTGTATTATTTCACTTTCTCACGTAACACAATAGGTAGTATTGTTAGATAATATTCCTCTTCTACTAATGTAGAAATAGAGGAAGAGAGAAATCAAGCTATTTGGTCAGTCATACAGCTTGATCAGTAGCCAAGTTTGTATTAGAGCCAGGTCCCCCCTGACTGAAGCACCATCCTAATATCCTGTGAATATCACCATGGTATGTTCATCCTCTATGATGGAAACTTAGTCATTTTGATTCACTTTGCCTACCCCAGAAGCATTGTTCTCCCAGTGGGGGATCTCTAGGCCAACAGGGCATGATAGGAGTGATGTTTGATTGCTTTGATGATTTATTTCTGGCAATGATTGTGGGAATTAGGGGTGGTGGCCAAGCATCTTGAGGTTCTATAGACAGTTGATTGCATTCCTTGTATAATTGTGAATTATGTAGCAATTGCCACCTTCTTCTTCATGTTGACCAGAGTCCTGTGCACTGAAATTGTTGGTGATGGGTAAGTGGGAAGTCTTGGGATCCATCAAATCCCTGTAGAAGGAATTAGATTAGATGTAGCTATTAAGATCGTCACATAATTCCCATCAGCATCAGGAGGAATCAAAGAAACAGCAGATTCCATGCCTCTGGGTATTTCCTTCACTCTTTATGTCAAAGCAATGAGACTTCTGCTGTCTCCCATCATGCTTTGGAGTCAGGCTACAATACTGTCAACTTGTAGTTCCTTCTTAGAATTCTGAGAATGGCGTGATCATTGTCAGTGGGGACCTTAGAAAGGAAAGTGATACTGAAGGGGGAAAATCAAGAGAATAAGGGGACTTGGGAAAGTTGGGAGGGAAAAGTAAAAGTCATACAAGGACCCCAGGGATGGTTCTGTTTAATGACCACCTTTTGTTAAGTACTTACTAGATGCTGATCCTGTACTTACCACTTTCCCTACATCAACTCATTAAAGTTTCACAAGAAAACAGAAGTAGGTTAAGTTTTAAGCTCCATTTTTCAGGTGAAGAAGTGGAGGTTTAGAGAGGTAGGGTGACCTTCTCAGGATACACATGCAATAAGCTGTGGGATTGGAATCCCTGCCCTGATTCACGTGTTTCCCATGGTTCCTGCTCCTAGCAGTCCATAATATTGTTCCTCAACTCAGGACAATTAGTTTTTTTTTAAATAGTTTCCTTTATTTTTTTTTAAGATTTTTTTTTATTTATACAATAGCTGGGGTACAGGCCAAGGGTGTGGGAGGGTGAGAGAATTCACCAGACACAGAGCAGGGAGCAGAACAGGAAGAGAGAAAGCACTGCTGAGGGGAGCAGTGGGTGTGACAGGAGAGGTCTAACATGCCATGTGGGTATCTCCCTGGCCCTCTGGGAATTGAACCCATGCTGCAGAGGCTGCAGACTGCTTCACAGCGCTGTGCTCAAACCACTGTGCCACCGGGGGGGCCCTGAACAATTAGTTTTGGGATGAATTTTGCACATCACAGACAAAATGTTAGAAATTAAATAGATGAGGAGAGAAAAGAAATCATCAGAATGCATTGTGTGTGGTAAAATATGAGACAAATGCCAAAACAAATCCAAACATTGCTTCCCCTTGGATGTGGGCACACGTATCCCCAGCTTCTGGCATAAAATGTATTTCTTGATTTTTACTGTTGATTATGATACAAACAGTCATGAGAAACATTCCTTGAAGGTCTTTTGTGTCTTCATTTGTTCTTTTTTCAAATATATATTTTTATTGAACTACCATCATGTTACATCTGTGTTCATTTTTTTCACACTATAGGAATTCTCCCCATAGGTGTGGCTACCATGGTTCTCCCACCAAAGCACCCATAATTCTCCACCATAGTCCACTGTGCCCTCACCCCCTTCTTTTCTTCCATCATCCTCTTCCTTCAGACAAAGACAAACTTGAAATCCTCATTTTTTTAATTTTATATAGTTTTTACATCATTTTTCATTTTTGCACAATGTATGCAATTTCATCTTGGTTATAGTCCCCAAGATTATAAAATTCCCACCCCTCCTTGTTTTGATCCTACTCCCTCTTCCTCCCCCCTATAGCATGTCTCTGGTTTATAGTTGCTTGTTGATTATGATTTTTACTTTATTATAATTAGTCTTTTTCCTGGTCCCTTATTTAGGTTTTCTAAGTTCCTGCTATGAGTGAGAACATCTAGTATTTTTCTTTTTCTTTCTGGCTTATTTCACTGAGCATGATCCCTTCCAGCTCCAGCCATATTGCTACAAATTGCACAAGTTTATCTTTTATGATTGCTGAATAATATTCCATTGTGTATATGAACCACCAAAACCAAAGTTCCCAAAAGATGTAAAAAAACGGTATCCATGGAGCTGTCCAAGGTTCTGGAAACAGAAATACTAATCCAGGGGCTCTGTCCCAAATCTAAATGCAAGAGAGGAGACTTCAATGCAGCCATGTGCAAAGAGCTGTGGGTGGAAAAAGCCCAGGAGACTAAAGGTAAAGCACAAGGAGGGCAAATTCCAGGGAAAACTCTGCAGCAGTGTTTCACAAGCTGCATCCTGAAGCTGTGAAATCATGTAGGTAATAATGTTCTTGGGAGAGAATATCGCTTTATCATCCATGCGAAAAAGGCAATGTTGAGCTGGACTAGGAGATCATCCTCATGCTTGCTTCATGATATGATACTCAATACTTACTGAGCACTTTCTATGTGCTGAGACACTTGACCCCACTTTACAACACAACCAACACACACAGCAGCCCAAGATTATCGTCTCCAATTTAAGGCTGAGGAAACTGACCTTGGAGGGTGACTTTTCTCAATGTAGCAGACCTGAGAAAGGCAGGGCCAGGATTAATACTTAAGCAGGTAATTTCATTTTGCATAATCTTAACCATGACTATATTCTCCCTTTCTAATTCACATCATTGAAAAGTTTGTAGAGAGGAAGAAAAAAGCAAGAGTGAAGGATGCAGGTAAAGTCTGATGATCTTGATTTTGTTTTATTTATGCATATGAGTATTGGGGTGCAGTCCAGAGGTGTGGGAGCAGGGGCAATGAGAGGATTCACCAGACATAGTGGGGAGGAGAACTAGCAGAGCTACTGAAATACACTGCTGGGGGGAGCAGCAGACGAGACAGGAGAGGTCTGTTGTGCCATGTGGGTCAGCTCCCTGGCTGGGGGTTGAACTCACGTGGCAGTGGCTGGCAATAACTTGATAGCGCTGAGACTCTAACCCTTGTGACACTAGGGAGGCCCCCGATGATCTTGAGATAATCAGTCTATATACAGAATCCCAACACGCTAGTTGGGTAGGCACAAATACCATTCCACTTTAGCGAGGAGCACAATGAGTGGCAGAGGGGTGAGACACTCTCCTTCTTAACAACCGCACCCATGGAAACCCCAGTTCTGAGGACCTACCTCCCAAACTCCCAATTCCCTGCTCCAGAAGCTGGAAAACCCCTTTCCTCCAGGCCTTTGTGGGGAACCCTTCACTGCTGGCCTATCTGATGAAGCATCTCATTTCTGCCCAAGAAACCATGCACCAGCAGCCCTGAGCCCCAGAGGAGGCGAAGCCACTAATTAGATGAGTCTGTTCTGGTGTCTGCTCAGACTCCAGCAGACAGATGGGGACGAGACAGGAATCCCAAATCACTCTGTTGTAGGGCCTTTGAGTGCAGTGCCTAAGTAAGATGACAGTTCTGAAAAATGGCAAAGGGGCCTGGCTCTGGGAGAACAAGGAGGGCAGCAAGAAGATGGAAGAGCTGGCAATGGGGTGTGGGGGGAGAGTCGATCCTTCGCCCCTCCCCAATAAAAAAAATAAATGACGAGCATTCACTAGCCTGGTTTTAAGTCCCAGAAAGGGTTGACACGAAGAGTTAGCTTGGTGCAGTGAGAAGACCCCAGAGCGGAGGCACAGAAGACAAGATGTGCTGTCTTAATTCCCCATTTATTAGCTTCGTGTATTCTCCTCTGTAAAATGGATGTAAAAGTTGTCACATCTAACACTGATGAAGACTCAGGACATTCTGGGTCTTGTTTTAACATGACACTTTTCTTAATTAACTAGTTTAATCCTTAAAACTGTGGTCCCACGAGACAGCAGTGTCCATAATTCCCATTTTACAGATGAGGAAGCTGAGACTCAGAGGCATCTCAGGCTATAAGTGAAAGAGACAGAGGTTAAACCCCAATACATGCCCTTAGCTACTATTTTGGGCTGCCACAAGGAAAAATACGTCATTAGAGCTGCTGCTGCCTGCCGAACACATGTCATGACCACATGCTCTTATTTAATCCGCTGGGTATAATTCTCTTGGGACTAATTTTACTGACAGGGGACTGTAGGGGTTTGAGATCTGTAGCGATGGGTGCATAGTCCCACAGAGGCCAGGATTGACTGCACAGCAGGCTGACTCCCAAGCCACACTCATGGGTTCCTTGTCTGGATTATCATAAAAATCACATGGGAGAATGTTAACCATTTGGATGTTCAGCTTCTATTCCTAGAGATGGTCTAGACTAGGTCCTAGGAATGTGTATGTCTGAAATATACTCAATTCTAATTCTTAGTCACTTGCCACTTGCTGAAAGCAACATGTTAGAATTACATGAAATAATGAAAGAATGCATTCGTGCACTTCAAAGTGCTATACAAATTCTGTAAGTACGATGTAATCGTAATACATCTTGCTATCATTAATGGTAAGCCATTGTTAATGTTTGTTGAAATGCTGACAAGTGTATGCTAGGTTCCTTTTAAAAAAAAGATTTATTTATGCATATAAGAGCTGGGGTGTAGGCCAGCGGTGTGGGGGGTGAGAGGATTCACCAGATACAGAGTAAGGTGCAGAACAGACAGATGTACTGAAAGACACTGCTGAGGGGAGCAGCAGGCATGACAAGAGAGGTCTGCTGCACCATGTGGGTCACCTCCCTGGCCAGGGATCAAATTCGTGTTGCAGTGGCTGCAGACAGCTTCACAGTGGGGCGTCTCAATCTCTTGCACCACCAGGGAGGCTCTACACTAGGTTCTAATGAGCACAGTAGCTGGGAATCAGAAGGCACCATGGCTGACCTCAAGCAGCTAGCAGTCCAATAATTGAGATAAAAGATAGGTGGTTTGTTTTTTTCCTTCAGGAGTGAGTTGCTAAGAAAACATGTCAGAAAGAATAAGATAATTCATGCTACTGTCAGCATATCAAGCCTGTGGACTTTTAGTTACCCATGCACACAGAGCAGAAAGATACTAACATGAATTTCTGGAATCCTCCCTGTCAGAGAGTGGAGAAGAGGCAGGGTATCATCTCACCAGCAGGGAGGAGTGACTATATTACATTAGGCTGTGAGCTTAGTGCCTGAGCACAGAGGTGGGGGATGCTATCAGAAATGTGATAGGCCTGGCAAAAGAACATTAATGGATTTACTAGATGTCTGACAGTGTGATAGAAATCGCCCAGGTGTCATCAAGTTAGAAAAGAAAACCAAATACTATAGCAGTTTAGGATTAAGTCAAACTGAACTGCATTGGCTGGT